GAATGGTTCTTAAAAATAATTTTGGTTGAATGCACTGGGATGGATTTTATTTGAGTTAGATTGGCTAACCATAGCAAAGTGTTTCTTACCTTGGGAGATTGAGTGCTAAGACATGCAAAAGAATAGTAAGCCAGTCTTTGTTTCCTTGGATCTTGGAATCGACTTATTTTCACTAAAATGGGACAATATATTAGTGTAAATATGACGTTAAATAAGTTTGAAATATGCATGAACCAAAATTCAATCTTATTTAAGTATTATGAATGGTTATTCATTAAAATTCTTTCAATTGTAGAATCATGTCTTCGAATAACTCAAAAAATCAGTTTTCATTACGCTTCATTCTCGACAAGGAGAAGTTGAGGGGGAAAAATTTTCTTGATTGGCAAAGAAATTTACAAATTGTTCTCATGCAAGAGCAAAAGGAATATGTCCTTGATGAGGAAATGCCCGATGCTCTTAATGAGGAAGTGACTCAGGCTTCCCTAAACGATGGCAAAGTGCCAATCGGGATGTCAAATGCATCATGTTGGCCACAATATCTCCCGAGCTTCAAAAGACTTTCTTTGAAAATGAGACAACTTTTGAGATCATTTCTGAGCTACAGAATATGTTCCAAGAGCAGGCCTAAACATAATGGTCAGTCAGCCCACATGTACTCAAAATGATAGGATTATTTGAGAACAAGGGTAGGCTTAATGCGGGGTATTCAATCGAGATGGAAATTGACATCATTCTCCACTCACTGCACAAACGCTATGATTAGTTCAAGATGAACTGTAACATGCCCAACAGATCGAGGATAGATAGGTCGTTAAGCTACCATCCTAACCAAATTAATCATTTATAATACCTAAACTTACACTAAACTAGTTAGTGGCAAGTAAAGGGTCGAACCCAAAAGGACTAAGTGTATTAATTTGTGCCAACTAGACTACTAAGAAAGGTCGTGAGATAGAGAGAGGTTAAACTAAACACGACTAAGAACAAACAACTAATACTAGGGAAAGTGAAATCCAATCACATCAATGTATTAAACAACATCATACAAATAGATGAAAATGACCTTGATTAGGAACATCAACACATTTAACTCACTCTCACACAATTAAGCATATTAATTATCCTACTAAACTAATTCACTCTCGTGCATCTAGCCTAGCAAAGGTATGGAAGAATTTAGGGCCCTCAACCAACTCACTCTCGCACAATTGAATGAAAGCACAATTAATAGCATAGAATCGATTAGCTAGAAAGATTCTAATCCATAGAAGCATCACCCATACACAATAATCAAGAAACAATTTCATACTAATCACATGCAATCATTCAATTTATTAATATAATCTTTATCCAATTCCCTAGAATAAAACCTAAGCTAACATAATGAAGAAAGACATGGAAAACAAGGTAAAATAAGAATAAAAACAAGATTAAACAAACAAACTAATTAATCTACTCAAATCAACAAACAAAAAGCATAAACTAAGAATTAAGAAAAGAAATAAAGATGAGAGAAAGTTAGAAAATACTCATTGAATAGATGAGAAGAAGTTCCACAAAGTTGCTTCTTCAACCTCTCAAAAACTCCATGGAAATCCAAGCTTTCTCTCTCTACACTACTCCTATACTAACCCTAAGAGAGAGAAAATAAAATTAGGCTAAACTAATCTAATCTATGTAAAATAAAATTTTGATTGGAAGTTGTGAGAAAATAACCCCAAAGGGGTATTTATAATACAATTTAAATAAAAATAAAATAAAAGAAAATAAAAATAAATAAAACTAAATAAAACAAACAATTAAAATAACTAAACTAAAAACCAAAAAAACCAAAACTACAATAAAATAAAATAAAAGAAAAGGAAAAGGAAAAAAAAAACCCCAAAACCCCACTAAACCCGTCAGACCCCTATTGTTCTTCCCTTTCGATCTTGGTTGCTTTCATTCACCATATCAACAACAAACAATCATCCTCACCGTTCATCAACACTATCATCATCTAGCATCACCAAAATCTCGGCCTTTGGATTAATTGAAGGAATCGTGGCCGTCCAATTTTCATTAAAATCACGTGAAAAGCTCGTGATTGACCCACAATTGCACGCCCGCACAGAAGTCGCGCACAGGTCGCGCACACTTACTACCTCAACTCTGATTTTAGACTCCATTTTGTGCGCTTTCTAATAGGGCTGCGCGGCCGCAAATTGGTTGCTATATGAGTTTGGGTGTTGTGCGAATTGCGGCTGCAATTGTTGTTCTTGTTTTGGTGGCTGACGGTGGTCTTAGTTGGAGTGGAGTGCTGGTGCGGTTGTGGTGGGCTGATAGGTGGTGTTGGTTGTGGATTGGTGGTGGGTTGCTGAGGCTGGTTTGGTTAGTTGATTGGAGTTGCGGGTCAATGTGAAGAGGAGAGGGAAATCAGGGGAGTTACGTGGTTCAGGTGGTGGTTCACAAGTGGTTGCGTGAGGTGGTTGGTTGTGGGTGGTGAGAGTGGAACAGGGGAATTGCGTGGTTCAGGTGGTGGTTCGCAAGTGGTTGCGTGAGGTGATTATTGTGGGCGTTGTTGTGGCTGTGATATGTGGTGAGTGGTCGCTGATGTTTTGTGGTGAAGGGGGCAGCAGTGGTGGAGCTGGTGGTTGTTGTTGGCGGATTGGTGGCTGGAGGTGGTTCTTGGTCTGAGGTGAGTTGATGAGTGGCTGAAGTGTGGGTGTGAGAAGGAGGAGCAGGGTCTGCTACTGCAGATTGATTTGAGTGCTGTTGCGGGGTTCATGTGCGGTGGAGCAGGTGTTGTAATGCTTGGGTGCGGTGGTGGTAAGGTGGTTCATGATTGGTGCTACTCTAGTGGTTGTTTGGTGTGTGGAAGTGGCTATTGACTTTTGACATAAATTCGGAAGCCGAAATCTCTTGACATAAAACCCGAACACCTACACAAAAAACCCGACACGAGGATAGAACAAAATATAATAAAATAAAACAAAGTAAAAATAAAATAAAATTAGTAAAAAAAATAAATGAATAAATTAAAACAAATAAGAAAATAAAGTGAGAAACAAGGAACTTATTATATAACAAGAACTAAAAACCTAAAATATAAACATAGAAAATAATAGAAATTAAATAAATTAAGAAAATAAGCTAAAAACTATTAAAAAATACTAAAATACATAAAATAAAGATAAAAGATGAGAATAAGCAAATAATAGAAATAAAGAACAAAATGAGCTAAATTATTGGAAAATAAGCCGGAAAGCGACTCAATAAACACCCTAAAAGTGACATAAAAGTCACTTATCACTAGCATGAAGCAAACCCTCACTAAGCTTCATGGTATGTTGAAGCAAGCCGAGTAAACTCTCAAAGATGAGGGAAAACATGATATGCTCATGGTGAAAAGGGGCAAGCCGTTCAAGCGCATTGGGCAAAAAGAAGAAATGCTTCAAAGGGAAAGGTAAGAAGAACTTTTTGCCTAAGTCGAAAGCTACCAAGCACAACAAGGAAAAGAAGGTAGAATCTTATAAATCTGATTCTGAATGCTTCTATTGTAAGAAGAAGGGAAATTGGAAGAGAGATTGCCTCAAATTTAAGGAAGATAAGAAGAACGGAACCGTTTCTTCTGAATAAGGTATATTCATTATAGACTTAATCTTCACTAGAACAACATCATGGGTATTAGATATTGGATATGGCTCACACCTTTGTTCAAATTCTTAGGGACTAAGGAACGTTAGGAAGCTAGAGAAGGGAGAGGTTGAACTCCGGGTCGGCAATGGAGCCAGAATTGCGACCGTATCTGTTGGAACTCTTAGTTCGTCTTTGCCCTCTAAGCTTGTTTTGGAAATTGATAGTTTTTACTATGGTCCCAACATTACCAAAAACATCATTTCAATTTCGGCGTTGGACGCCAAAGGGTTTGAATTTTAAGTAAAAGACAATGAATGTTCGTTTTATCTCGATAATGTTTTATATGGTATCGCACATTCTGAAAATGGTCTATAATGTGATTTGATGAATGTCATTTACGGCACTCATAGGGTAGTCTTTTAGGATGATTTCATCCCTTTATCATGCTTTCTTATCTTATTTTTGGTCCTTTTTCCACTAGTAGAAAAAGGCTCATTTGCGTCGCTCATTTATAGTGTATTTGCGTCGCTTCTATGAGCGATGCAACTGCTCGCGACGCAAATGACTTTTTTGATAAACTTATTTTTTTGTCATTTGCGTCGCTCCTTTATAAATAAGCGACGCAAATGACTCTTCTGACAAACTTATTTTTTGTGATTTGCGTCACTCTTTTATAAAGGAGCGACGCAAATAACTCTTCAGATAAACTTATTTTTTGTTATTTGCGTCCCTCCTTTATAAAAGAGCGACGCAAATGACTTTTCTGATAAACTTATTTTTAGTCATTTGCGTCGCCCCTTTATAAACAAGCGACGCAAATGACTCTTCAGATAAACTTTTTTTGTTATTTGTGTCGCTCCTTTATAAACAAGTGACGCAAATGACTCTTCCAATAAACTTATTTTTTGTTATTTGCGTCACTTGTTTATATAGGAGTGACGCAAATGACTGAGTAGACAATACAAAACTGCTGTATTTGCGTCACTTGTTTGTTTAATGAGTGACGCAAATGAGGTGAAATTATTATTATTTTTTTAATTATAATATAATAATTGCCTTGTATATGTTTGTAGTACCTGTTTTCCTAGGTATAAAGTAATATGCTAACGCTAATATAATTGAAATTAAAATGCAATATTATTGAATAATGCAAATGTAAATTTCGGCAGAGTCTCCTTTGTAATTTGGCCTACCCATAAAATTTCCAAACCATGTTTCTTAACCAAATCAACGTATAATACAACTCCAACTTCTAGAATTAAACTTAAAGGTAGAAGTACCTCAACAGCTCAACCTAGAGTTCAAAACGTGGTAACTACTGATTACTGACTATAGTATACAATTTTTCCCAAGCGAGCAAGAGGCATATGGCAGCTTGCCTATTGTGACCAGAAGTGAGAAAGAGCCCTTCCATTTTTGCAGGCCGCAACACACTCAAGCACATATTCTCTGAGCTTCTTCTGGACTTTTTCCATTGGCAAACAGGCATCAACCATCTGTTATCATTCAGCATCGTATGAAAATCTAGATGGCATTATTACGGAATTTGATGAAACAGCAACTATCTCACAGAATCTAGTTAAAAAACATAATTTACAAAAATAAAAAGAACATTGCAAGAAACTGGAACATGTTTAAGTAATAGAAAATTAGTATAACCTACACTACATAATATTGTAGGCATCACTATAATGACACTATGCAAGATAAAGTCACCACTGTCAAACCTATTAACCTTACAACCTTACCAAAATCGCAAAATAAACATTGCAAGCTATAAGTTTTTAAGGAATCATGAATAGAAATTACCCATCCATGAGGCATCATGAAGAGCCTGGTATTTTTCTCTGACCTTCCCTTGAAAATCAAGACGCTCGTATCTTTCATCACCATAACCACCTCTTTCTGCATTTATAAAAAAAAAAGATATTAGGATATGCTTTGATCTGAATTTTTAAGATTTGGTGGAATATGACTTGCCTTTACAGATATAACAATAAGATGCGCCTTGAATTTTTTTTCAAATATATTATTAATTATTTGTAAATTGTATAACCTTCTTTCAACTAAGGACCATGATAAAGATGGAAAGTAATACAACAGTAAAGCAATTGGCATACTTATTCAATTTAGTGCATTAAAATTGTACAGTCTGATGCAAGCTATGAAAAAACTAAGATTTGGTTTAACAGCCATGTCTCAGATCTTATCAAATAAATGGTACGCCCCATAAATTCTTATCAGTGAAACTAAAGGCAAAATTCCTATCATGCCTATTTAAATGAAAGTATAACTCTGGTGATATATCAAGGTATAAGACCATGTCTGGAGCCAGCAATCCTATCTCTGGTGCCTGCACAAAGAGAATTGTGATCATATTGCGACTAAATAGTGATATGCCTGAGTTAACTGGTTGATTACTAAGAGTTGAAATCTTCAAAGCAAGTTGTCAACATACATCACACTCACTCGAAGATGGGTTTTCAACTTTTCCTCCATCATGGATCTGTAATTTTAGATGACAAAGTCAACAACTAAACAAGCATGTCACCAAAAAAACAGATTCATGAAGAAGTAAAGTTTACAACTTTAAATCACATTCTGAACTCCTGTCCCAATATACTTCAAAATCCCAGGGGAATAAAGACAGTTTTTTAAAAGTAATCTATCATAATTCCAACTACAATCTCCAGAATGTAATATAACCGAGAACGAATTACCCAAATTAAGCAATAAATAACAACATAGAAAGGAATTAGATTCAGCTAAACATAACATCAAACACATGGTATGCAACTCACAAATTATGTGTAAAAAAACAATCATAAAAAGAAAAAAGAAACAACCTTTCTCCCAACGATTAGCACTGAACAAAAGATGAATAGTATGATCATCCAAATTAGATTGATTGGAAAGATAAGATGCCCAACAGCAGTATTTCGATCTGGAAACCGCCATAACTCAGCAGAACACCCAATACTTTGCAAGTGAGAGAGAAGCTGAATACACTGAGAGCTCTTTCCACTTCGATCTAACCCTTCTAATACAACCAAAGCACCTCTTGATTGTAAATTGGGGTTTAGGGCAGAAACTTCAATTTTGTTGGAAGAATCATTCTCCATTTTTGTAGCAAAAATTGAACAATTTAACTGAAATTTAACATCCTGGTTTCTCCTTTGTGCTCCTGCAAAGTGCACCCAAGAAACAACTCAGATCAATATTTTGGTAATTAATATCAAAATCCTTCTTCTGTTGCAAAAGAAGATAACTGGGCATAAATTATATATCATTAGTAGTTATTACTTGTGAACTTCACTGTCATGTCTTTTCCTTGTCATCTGCCATGTAAACGGACTATTAGGATCCACACCAGGCTGTGAAATTTCCAAACCATGTTTCTTAACCAAATCAACGTATCTGAAAATTCAATAAAAAAAATGACAAAAGTTCTGTACTGAATAGCTCAAGACATTAGAGGATATGATGCAGAAAGAGTGCTAACTTTTCGGAATCAAAATTATCCAGGTACTCCCAAATCTTCGTCCCAGATAAATATGTAATCATATGGTGCCACAATGTCAGGATGTAGAAATCGTTTTTCATACCACCTTTAACCATACAATGAAAGAACGGATCAGTATGATAAAATTGATAATTAATCTGACCCAATTGCCTAATAACTAGAGTACTAACCATTTCGTCTGTTTTCGAGCACTGACATGGATAATTAATCATCATTCTATCATTTGTTCATTCTTAATTATCAACTAAAAATTAATTGAAAATAAATTAAAATTCCTCTCGTTCTTCTAATTTAAAATAATCAACAATAAATAAATACAAGAAAATCACAATTTCTGACAAACTCGAAATTTTATTTTCAACAGAAATGAACACAAATTAAGAACAAAATTAAAGAACTTAAACACAAATTAAGCACAAAATCAAATTACCTTCTCATTAAGAGAGCATTTGGACTGAACATAAGACTGAGGATCAAACCTATCATTCCGAAATGCGTTTGAGTTGATTTTTTGCTCGAAATGGGGGATTTTTGGTCGGAAATAATCAATTTTTCTGGGTTTAAGGGTTCGAATTTCTTGGGGTTTTTTGTCTAAATTTTTGCTCGAAATTGCTCGGATTTGCTTCAACTTGACTGCAATTTTAATTTAGATGTTAAATTTGCTGGGGAATCGCAGTTTTTTGGCCTAATTTGTTGGGTTTCAGAGACGAATTTGTGGGTGTTTTGCTGTAGAAATTCATTAGAATTGAAGAACTCTTGTTTTTTTTTCTTTTTTATTAGTGAATGTAGGCGAAGGTAAAAAAAGCAGAAAACCTAAAGTCAAAAGAGTTATTTGCGTCACTTTATTATAAAAAAGCGACGCAAATAACCTTGTTTATGATATTGTACACAGCTCATATGCGCCGCTCATGTAGTAAAAGCGTGACGCAATTTACTTAATCGCTTATTTGCGTCGCTTGTTAACAAATGAGTGACGCAAATAAGTTTATTAATTACGTTGCTTTAATAAATAAGAGCGACGCAAATGAGAGAAAGCTGAAATGCACTTGAGTTTTGCGTCGCTTCTTGAATAACATGTGGCGCAAATAACTTAAAAGGATGGTAAAATTAAACATTTGCTTCGCTCCTTAAAATGAGTGACGCAAATATGGCAAATGTACATTTTTCTACTAGTGTTCCTTTAGTTCCTCTCTTTCCTTCTTTCTTTGTGTTTTTCATGTTTTCTTCGTGTAATCCTTTTATTTGGCCCTTTTTCCCTTTTATTCCTTTCCTTTGTTTGTTCTTGTAGGTACCTAGGAGTTGTCTTTGCAAGGGGATCAAGATGAGCTATATTGACTACGCAAGGAGGAAGCAATCTGCTTGGAGAGGACTCAAAGAGGGCATGGAGATGCCTTGGAGAGGGCATCAAGTCTTGCCAGGTTGCCGCGGGCGCGGGTCCTGAAGGCCGCGGGCGCGGGCTCGATTGCACAAAATTAGCCTAAATCGACAAGGAACTCTCCGCGGTCTGGCCGCGGGAAGATTGGAGAGGGTGCTCCAGATTAGAGAGATCGCGACCCTCTAGTTACTCTTTGGGAGCAGGAGTTTCGCCGCGCCTTACCGCGGGCGGGGTGTTGCCCGAACAGCCCGCAGAGTTTGTTATGGGTTCCGTACCCATTTCCCCGCGGGCGCGTGATTTCTTAGAGAGGGCGCGGGGATCCTGTTTTCCTTCTTTGCCTATAAATACACTTGTAATTCCTTTTTGAAAACCAACTTTTAGATAATTTTCATTAGCTTAGTTCTAGAGAGAGAAGTTAGAGAGAAGTTCTTGGTTTTGGATTTGTATTTCAACATTAGATCATTTGTGCTTGGATTTCTTCTTCTTCAATCATTAATATTAGTGAGAATCCCTTCTTTTAGTTCATCTCTTTACTTGTTTGTTTTAGATTCTTGTTTAATTGTTTGATTTCCTTAGATTTGAATTTGATTTTGTACTTGGTATTGTTTTCTCTTTATTTTGATTTAGAATGATGATCAATGCAATTTCTAGTGATTTGTTCTTGAGTTACACCATGATTAATGAGTACATTAGTTGCTAGGGAGAAGGGGAAGCATGCTTGATTGATATTTTGTGCTATTCGATGATCATTGATTGATTGAATTGTTGCAATTAAATAGGTTGACATAGTTTTGCATGTGATTGATTAGATTATGAATGATCAACCCATAAGATTAATCTAGATTGCATAGCAATTTTTAATGACAAGAACCATCAATTTGAGAATTGTTTTAGTTGTTTGAGTTTTATTGTGAATTTCCTTGATTATCCATTCATACTGACCACTAGCTTGGCCTCTAGGAAATAGCTCTTGAATTCTCTTGATTGCTACTATTGTTTGTCCTTTGCAATGCTTGAATCATTTGAATGAACTATTAATTAGCATGATTATTGAACTAGCATGTGGAACCTATATCCCTAGTGTTTAGTTTCTTGAATTATTAGATTAATCTAGCTTTGTTACCATAGTACCAACCATTTTCTGACTACAATCTTTGAAGTAGCTTGACTTAGGCTATAGTTAATACCGACTCACTCCTTTGGGTTCGAACCTATACTTGCCTTATACTTGTATTAGGTTTGTTTAGGATTTTATAAATTGTATTTGATTTTGGGATAGACAATTGACGACACGTTTATTCATCTATCAAAACGGCGCCGTTGCCGAGAAGTGATATTGGTGCTTAGCTTTAGTTGTTGAGTCTATTTCACTTTAATTGAAGAATACAAAAATATTTTGTTTCTTAAGGCTACGTTTGTATCCATGATAATAATATTTCCGTTGAGTCTTTCATTCATAGAGCTCGTGATCAATCCATTGTGCCTTTTGACCCGGAAATTGAAAGGACACTCTCAAGGAGAAGAATTTCTAGTCGATCCTTAGAGTTTAGTTCCTGAAGCGAAGAAGGATTTAAAGAAGAACTAAACATGGGAGAACAAGCAAGATTTTCCTTGAAATAATTGGGAATTCCCGGTGCGTACAAGTTTTAGAGTGGAATTTCCCCACCTACAACACCGGCGAATGATTTTGAAATTAGGCCGGCTATGATCTCTTTGATATAGAGGAGACAATATAGCGGAGCTAAGAATGAGATTCCGCTAAACCATCTCAAGGAGTTCGAAAAGTATTGCAATACTATCAAAGTAAACGGAGTTTCTCAAGAGTTCATCCGGCTAAAGTTGTTTCCCTTTTCTCTCATAGGTCGAGCCTTGGAATGGTTGGATTAGGAGGGAAAGGCAAACTCCCTAAGAACATGGGACGAAGTCACCAAGGAATTCTTGTCCCGGTTATATCCACAAAATAAAACAGCAGAGCCTAGAGCTTTGATTCAAGGGTTCAAGCAAAGACCTAATGAAAGCCTTTTACGAAGCATGGGAGAGGTATAAAGAGTACCAAAGGGAGTGTCCCCACCATGGAATTCCAACTTACCAAGTCATTCAAATTTTCTATGGTGGCCTAAGTCCTCGAGGCAAATCATGCCATTATGGGGGAGCCGGAGGTCCCATAATGAATAAGACGGAAGAAGAAGTGGTGGACATTATTGAGGATGTGGTGAAGTACTATAGAGATTGGCAAGATGATGAGAGGGATTCAACTAGCAAGAGTGGATCATCAGTGTACTCTATAGACCATCTAAATGTGATCAACAACCTATCCTCACTAATGACAAACTTGGGAAAAGAAATGACCGCAATCAAGGCTAAATTTGAAAGCTCTTCTTCTTCTCAAGCTTCGAATCTTCCCTCCCAATTTAAGGGGAGAGGTATTCTTTCTAACTCTCAACCCCCTCCCTCTTCAAATAATACGCCTAGTGGTTGCTTGTTTTGTGATGCATGTGGATCTTATGATCATGACTCTTATAATTACCCTTATGCTTCTCCATAATTTGGTGATGATTTTGATAATAATGAGAGTGAGCATGTGAATTATGTGTCAAATAATAATGTGCAAAGGTTTGGTAATCAAAGAGGTCAATGGAATAGGAATTACCAAAACCAAGGTAATTTTGACAATTATAACCAAGGTGGTGGTTATAGGTACCAAGGGAACCAAGGTTCTCGTGGTGACTATAACAATCAAGGTTATGGTAGTCAAAATCAAAACCAAAATTATGGTAATCAAAACCAAAGTTATGGAAATCATAACCAAGGTAGTTGAAACCATAATCAAGGTTATGGTAAAAATAAAAATAGGGGTAATTAGAACAATCAAGGTAGGGGCAATTTTCAAAATAATTCTCAAAGGGGTCCCCCACCCGAATTTGTTCCAAAGACTCAAGGTGAAAATTCCTATTCACAACCTTCTTCTTCTAGGACTAATTTGGAGGAAATAATTGAAAATCAAACCAAGCTGTTGAACACATACATGGCCGTTCGTGACAAGAAATTCAATGAGATGATGACCTATAACAAAATGCTTTAAAACAAAATTTCTCAACTTGCTAATGCTTTAAAAGACCAAGCAAGCCCTTCTTCTTTACCTTCCCAAGGCCTAGATCCCAAGAAACCCGTGAATGCTATTGTTACAAGGAGTGGTAAGGTTCTTGAGGAGAGATTGCCTAGGA